TTGATCTATTTTTTAGTACTATATGCACAGCAGCGATCTTTAACGATTTTCAATTATTATATCCTTTTTTTTTTTTTATAGAACTATTCTAAATATTGCATAGTCTCGTGACTTCAAATATGTAAAATTTTACACGGGTCAATAAAAAGTTTAATCGATAGCATTGTTAACTTCGCCAAATTACCCCCTTTTACCTTATATCTTTTTTGCAACCACTAAAAAAATTGCATCTATCAAAAAAAATCGCGTCAGGATATAATTATTACTTACTTACCCTATACAGATGCGTCGCGCAGAGCTAAAAAATCAGGATTAAAAACGGTTCGAGCACAACTTGGTTTACTAAATTCAGCACTATATACAACATATGGGTTGAAATTTAAATCTACTAATAAGAAGCTCATACATTATCATCTGGTTGGTTCGTTTGATAATGAGGATGCACCCAAGTTACCTTCATATCAGACAGGAGAAGAGGTATATTGGAATAATGGAGAAGATGCCTGATATGCTTATAGTAAACTCACTTCCAATGAATTATTATTAGAGAAACTTAGCAAAGCATCTTTCGACCCTGGTTTCAGCAAAGTAAATACCGTGCAAATTACAGAAAATATTCAAGATTTATTTGATATGTGCTAATTATTCTTCAGATGGGGTAGTCTTCTGCCAATATTTTATATAATGATTACGCAGAAGACTACCCTCGATTTATACTATCTGTTAGGGTATTATTCTGCCATTATTTTATATAATATTTCCGCAGAAAAATACCCAACTACATACTATTAAAAATGCACCAACCGATTTTGATGCTTGACCAATGAATAGAATAATATTTGTTGCTCACTTCTTAGCAGATACTTCAGAGGATTTACTATGCTGAAGAGCTCCGATTCCATACTTTTGCCTCATCCGGTAATTGAGCGAATGAAATCTAGCAGAGTGTTTGGGGCAACACCCGTTGTGGAAGCAGTGGAGAATTCACAAATAAGGCAAGGTCTTCTTTTCACATTTTTTTCATGCAATGTCCAATGCCTATAACACCCTGTAGGGCGCTAGCACTTGTTTCCACAAACAGTACCATCCTTCTTAATATGTGGGCAGGTAATACGATCCATGGTCAAGGTGCTAAAGCAAAAGTATTTTAGGATATAAAACTCTTTTTCACTTTAATTTTATAATGAAATATGCATTTAAATTAATCAATATTATAATGAGATAAAGATAAATTATCATTTCATACTCACATTATAGATACATTAGATCAACCGATAAATAAAGTTCGCGAAAAAATCTATAATTTCAAAACTAATCGCATGATCATTTTAAATGGGTCAATGTATAATAAATTGCTACGTGAAGGCTATATGCATTGGAAAGAGAAAGAACTCTTGATTCCGCTATTCAATAAAATGCTAATATTGAGAGAATACCTTTCTTTTATATTTATTGAGATCGTATATGATCCAGAAAAAAGTTTACTTATGTTAATTAATGGAAAAGTAAGTTTGTTAGAAATTTTACTCAAAGTATATAATGATAGTGCTACAAACGAGTTATTAAAAATCGACTGGAATAGTAAAAAAACGCAGGAATGGAGAAGTAATGTACTTATAAAATTCCTCTATCACCCGAATTTAGCTTCTTTGAAACATAGACCAGGTGCTTTATATGATGCATTCACTGAGGCAAATGTTTTAGGACCAAAACATATATTAGCTCTAGTGTGAGCACTTTATTAAAATATAATCACAAAATAGGACTTAGACCTTAAGTTTGTTTATAGCTTTGAAATGAGGGTTCTGTGGCTATTTTTTTGCTTATCCTATCTACCTGCAGATTTCAAATTCTGTAAAACCTATTTCTGGCCAGAGCGGGTAGACCCAAAGAAACTACCCAATATAAGTTATAATATTTTTTCACCCAAAAAATTCTTGAAGAAAATACTGGTAGATTTTTACTATGGCTTTGTGGTCAAACTCCAGAATTTGTTTCTGTTCAACCCCCTTTACCTCCAAAACCGCAGATAAAAAATAATATTACCTCAAATAGTGATAGTGTTGATGAAATTACTAAAGGTATGGCAGATATGTCTTTGAATATGGTAAAAGCATTAATACTATTGCTAAAACCGTTAAAAAATCTCATCGATATTGTTCAAATTGTGGTAGAATAGGACATAATTCTCGTAGCTGTTCTCGAAAAAAAAATAAAAAGAAGAATAAAAAAAAAGGCAAAATTAATAATGCTTGCATAGATTCTGACTCAGATACTTCTACTAATGAATCCGAATCTAATTCTAGCTCTGAAAGTTCTTCATCTGAATCAGAGTCTGAAGCTGAAATTTATCTCAAGCAAAAAAAAAGTGAAGAAAAAACATAGCACTAGTACTTCTTTAGAGAAGAAAAAATCAAAAACTCACAAGTCTCATAAAGTAAAAGATACGGACACACCTCCTTTAGTATCAGTTCCTACTTCCAAAAAGGAAAAGCAAAGTTTAAAGCCCCTGTCACAGAATGAACAATCCCGCTTAGAAAAAATTATTGAAAAAATTATTGAGAAGGTGCTTAATGAAAAGTTTGGCACTATTACAACTGCCCCTTTTCAACCAGAAGCTGAAATTTCTAAAATACCAGCTGATTCTGAGGATGATGAGTTTATCGATGACCCTATAGAGATAGATTTTGTCCAGAGAAAATAACCCGCCACAGATGTTGTTACTACTAAATGTAAAATCAAGCACTTGGTAATTCCCGGAGCCACAGTTGACCCTGGTGCTAACTTTGCAATTATTTCTGAGGACATTGCCAAACGATTGAAGCTAGAGATTGACACGAAAGAAAAACATGACCTTAGGGGTATTGCTACTACTTCCACAGAATCTCTTGGAATTGTTAGAAACGTTCCAGTGAATTTCGCTCCCAGGTGTACCATATATGCCGATTTTGCAGTAGTTAAGTATCTTAAGCCAATGCTTATTTTACCTAATACATTGCTTGATAAATATAACTATGATTTACTTGCTTCAAAGCGAGAATTGAGACTAGAATGTAATGGTAAGGAATTTTTTATTCCAGTCAATATGCACAAGGTCAAGAACAAGCTCGAAGTGAATTGCGCAAACATAACTCCAGATTGTGATGATTTCTTGACTCCGGATAACATATCACAGGACTCACAGGAGTTAAATAGGTATAATGATGTATTAAAAAAAACGCATGAGCTATGATGAGCTTGAAAAAATATTGTATGATACTCTTATTTCCAAAGCTAAATTAATTGAGATTAATAAAAACATCCGATTCCTTTTTTCTTGTTAACTAGATATTCTAGCTTAGCGAAGTGAGTTAAGAGCAAAGAGCTTTTCTAATTCACGCATGGACTCCTCTGATTCTATATGATCTTTTTTAATCAAAGTAATTAGTTTATATGAGATATCTAGTAAGGAGTTTTGGCAAGAACCCCCGGCCGAAATTTTAGGTAAGTTAGAATTTCGAATGGATCCAGACTTTAACAGTTTCTTTTTCTTTTTTTACTTTTCTTGCACATTCATATCAGCAGGTGATGGTCCCAAAGAGTTCCCCACAACCTCAGATGATTCTTTTGGAGTTGACTCATCAGACGCTTCGCAAGGTTGTTTAGCATGAACTTCTGAACCATTCTCTGAAGAGATAGATTGTGCTTTCCTAAGCTCCTTAAAAAAGTGGTTTCCATTTTGCTGTGAATGCTCAGAATCGTTCCATATATCATGAATACAATCTTTATTAATATGGTACTCATTTACTATCATATACACCGGGACCTTATTTTTGAGATGTCTAATTTCTTCAATCTGTCCAGGTGTTAAAATGGTGGCACCCCGCCAATAATGGGTTTTTAAAATCGAGGTAGACATAATCTTCTGATATTTTTAGACAATGTATTTAGATGCATAAAAAATATTAGGCATTAATATTTATCATTTTAGATGGATAAAAAAAATTAGAATTCAATATTTATTATTTTAGAATGAGAGGGGATGTTAGAAAGCATAATTTATTGTTTTAGGTGGGTAGAATACATTCTAATACGCTATTTAAAATAATAATAAAATGATTGATAACCTTCGTGTTCATTTTTTATTTATTGTGATTATTCTCTAACATAAAATTTGAAAGTTTTTTTTTTACATGTTTATGGCTAATGTAAATAAATGGGAATATATGATCTTGAAAAAGAGATATGTTGCATCTTACAAGACTCATCCAAGATACGGGATTATAATGTTAAGTTGTGGAACGAATACATGAAGATCAATGATGAGGCCAGATGGTTGAAGGTTGAAAATTCTAAACTTTTTTCCCAATATGCTTGCACGGAGACATCTCTTGCCAAATATAAAGCTGAATATTATGCAAAATCAGAGGAAGTAAAATCACTTCAATCTGTGATTAATTCATTACCCCCAGGATACTTTGATAAGAATAATTAGCCAGATAGTCCTGAGAGAACTGATTTATATGCAAAAAGTGGTGGCGAAAAAAATAATGAGCGAGAGAGCTCTAGCGCTTCTTCAGAACAAATCATACCTGTTACTATTTGCAAAGAAAAGATTTAATTAGGTGGCTCAGGGAACTCTATTGATATAGACAAATTACTATCATCGGTGTTCACCTGCTCGATATTGCTTTTTCTATTAATCGTAATTATATGGTTAGTCATTGTGAAAAAGCTACAGAATTTGGAGAGCATCATGCTAAAAGAAAAAGTCAAATATTCTGCCCACAAAAAATATATAAATAGAGAAGAGGTACCAGATAGGCTGAGGATAATACCTAATTATCTACAGCTGTGTGATCGGAGGACTAGGCCGGAAGAGGCCACCTCATGTTCAGATCGAATATAGGAATTGAAGTTAGCCAGTATTATAAGTTTTCTAGCAGAGGTGTAGTAATTTCAGCTAAGAGTACTTATCTATATAATTCGATGATTTCGTCTATATCTGCTTCGGACGAATCATCCTTTTTGTCATTCTGTAACTTAGATAATGTTCGATAGTGTGTGATTTCTAGACCAACCACTTTGTACCATGTGTTTTGGAAATTTGCTAGTAGCTTACACTCATTTTCTAGATCATATGATAATATATATTTTTCTAAGGTCATAGCTTTCGATTTATGCTTACTGGACTTAGTAACTAATTTATATATTTCTTCTTTGTAACGTTCATTGATTTTAGAAATTTCTTTAAGCAATAACAAAACCTTTAAGCAGGCAGATTCTTTTAGTTTATCCAGTGCATTAAGGAAGGAAGTGTAATAACCAACATTACCCAAGCATTTTACTACTTTACTAGCATAATTGGTAACAAATAAATTTTTTGCATAAGTACGAGCTTCTTTTCATAAATATGATACGATGGCTTTATCTTTTTTCGGTCCATCATGTAGATCTTTGATATATCCCTTAATCTACTTTTTAGCTGATTTCTGCGCTAAGGCATCTTTCATAATTGATACATCATCTTCATCCAAATCTTTGCCATTCTTCGATTTTTCTATGGATTCAGATGATGGCTGGAATCTATCA